TAATCAGAATAGTCTGACTTATATGGGCTTAAGGCATTGGCTACTTAATCATGGTGTCTACCAGTGAAATAGATAGGAAATCTACTAAATATTTACTTGATCTGTAACAGTAGATGAATTCAAGTTCAAGTGAACAGCAGTCTAACTAGAATCTCCAGAACAGAGAGTCACGACCCCTCGATCAATTCCCAGACTTGAACAAGTTTAAAGATCCACAACCCCTTGAACAAAGCGGAGGCCAGGTCCCCTTAAGGAAGGACTATGATACATTGCCAAAAACTTTTACTGTTAGTCTTTCTCCCAAAGGGAGTTTTAGCTCATGTCTGTCTCACGGTAGGTCCAGTGTGTCCCCAAACCCATTCTGTAGTGATTTAATCAGTTTAGGAATGCATAACTGGAATAGATATACTCAGCAACTGGTAGAACCCCCACACTGGATCCCTTACAAAGGGAGTAAGGGCTATTGTTGCTGTTGTTAGTTTCCCTCGAGTTGGTTCGGACTCATACTGACCCTGTATACAGAACAAAATACACTTCCTGGTCCTATGCCATGCTCGCAAACATTGTTAAGCTTGGGCTCATTGTTGCAGCCGCTGTGCCAATCCATCTCATTGAGGATCTTCGTCTTTTTCACTGACCCTGTCCTTTATCAAGTATGATGTCCTTCCCCAGGGACTGTTCCCTCCTGACATGTCCAAACTACGTAAGACGTAGTTTTGCCATCCTTGCTTCTAACGAGTATTCTGGTTGTACTTCTTCCAAGACAGATCTGTTCATTCTTTTGGCAGCCCATGGTATATGCAATATTCTTAGCCAACACCACAATTCCAAGGTGTCAATTCTTCTTTGGTCTTCCTTATTCATTGTCCAGCTTTCCATGCATATGATGCGATTGAAAATACCATGACTTGGGTCAGGCACACCTTAGTCTTCAAGTTGCATCTTTGCTTTTCAACACTTTAAAGAGGTCTTTTGGAGCAAATTTGCCCAATGCAATGCATCTTTTGAATTGTAGACTGCTGCTTCCATGGATGTTGATTGTGGATTCAAGTAAAATGAAATCTTTGACAACTTCAATCTTTTCTCTGTTTACCATGATGTTGCTTATTGGACCAGTTGTGAGGACTTTTGTTTTCTTTATGTTGAGGTGTACTCCATACTGAAAGCTGTGGTCTTTGATTTTCATCAGTAAGTGCTTCAAGTCCTCTTCACTTTCAGTAAGCAAGGTTGTGTCATCTACATAACGCAGGTTGTTAATGAGTCTTCCTCCAATTCTGATGCCCCATTCTTGTTCATATTGTCCAGCTTCTTAAGATTATTTGTTCAGCATACAGATTAAATAAGTATGGTGAAAGCATATAACCCTCATGCACACATTTCCTGACTTTAAACCACGCAATATTCCCCTGTTCTGTCCAAACAACTGCCTCTTGATCTATGTACAGGTTCCTAATAAGCACAATTAAGTGTTCTGGAATTCCCATTCTCTGGAGTGTTATCCATAATTTGTTATGCTCCACACAGTGGAATGCCTTTGCGTAGTCAATAAAACACAGGTAAACATCTTTCTGGTATTCTCTGTTTTCAGCCAGGATCCATTTGACATCAGCAATGATATTCCTGGTTCCACGTCTTCTTCTGAATCTGACCTGAATTTTGGGCAGTTCCTTGTTAATATACTGCTGCAGCCATTTTTGAATGATCTTCAGTTAAATTTTACTTGCGTGTGATATCAGTGATATTGTTCGATAATTTCTGTATTCGGTTGGTCATCTTTCTTGAGAATAGGCATAAATATGCCTGTATAATATAACATGAGCTTTCATAAGAACAATTGACAGTCTGTTCTGCAGTCAACCCCTGGCCTTATTCTGACTGATTAAATTGAGCTTTTCCATTGTCTCTTTCCACAGATGTAGTGGATTTGATTCCTGTGTATTTCATCTGATAAGGGCAACTTGTATAGTCACCATTTACGTTGTTGAAAAAAGGCATTTTCAATGAAATAGTTGTTGGTCTTGCAAAATTCTACCAGGCTGTTTCTGGCATCATTTCTATCATCATGGCCATATTTTCCAACTACTGGTCCTTCTTCATTTTCAACTTTCACCTTCCAATCACCACTAATTATCAATGTTTGATCAATTTCAGACTGCAGAAGTTGGTAAAAATCTTCAATTTCTTCATCTTTGGCCTTAGTGGTTGATTTGTAAATTTGAAAGATTATAGTATTAACTCTTCTTCCTTGTAGGCATATGGATATTATTGTATCACTGACAGTGTTGTACTTCAGGGTAGTTCTTGAAACTTTCTTTTTGATGATGAACACAACACCATCCCTCTTTTCAACTTGTCATTCCTTGCATAGTAGACCATATAATTGTCTTATTCAAAATGGTCAGTAGAAATCCATTTCAGCCTACTAATGCCTAGAATATAGATGTTTATGTATTCCATTTCATTTTTGACGACTTATAATTTTCTAGATTCATGCTTTGTACATTCCATGTTTTGATTATTTTGAGTTTTGCCACATCAGCAAATGAAGCTCCCAAAAGCTTGACTCCATTCAAGTCATTAAAGTCAACTCTACTTTGAGGTTGCAGCTCTTCGCCTGTTGTCTTTTGAGTGCCTTTCAGTCTGAGGGGCTCATCTTCCAGCACTACATCAGACAATGTTCCACGGCTATTCATAAGCATTTTGCTGGCTAAATCTTTTCAGGTGTAGATGGCCAGTTCCTTCTTCCTAGTCTGTCTTAGTCTAAAAGCTCAGCTGAAACCTGTATACCAAAGGTAACCATGTTATTATTTGAAATACAGGTGTTAAAGCTTCCAGTATCACAGTGACATGCAAGCTGCCACAGTCCGACAAACTGACAGACACGTGGTGGATAAATAAGTAGATGGTCAGTGGAAAAGAGGAAGACCTTCAACAAGATGGATTGGCACAGTGGCGACAACAATGGGTTCAAGCATAATAATGCCTGTGAGGATGGCTCATGCCTGGGCAGTGTTTCTTTCTGTTGTACATAGGGTCACTATGAGTTGGAACTGACTGGACCGCACCTAACAACACATATAAACTTACTAAAAATAGGCCATTTCTATATTTTTAAGGAAGGAGCCCTGGTGTATAGTGGTTAAGCATTGGCTGTTAAACGAAAGGTCATGAATTCAAACCCACTAGCTGCTCCGGGGAAGAAAGATGTGACAATAGACTTCTGTAAAGATTACAGCCTTGGAAACTCTATGAGGCAGTTTTACTCAGTCCTGCAGAGTCACTGTGAGTCAGAATCTACTCGACAGAAATGGGTTTAAGTACCAAAATATATTATACCCCTTTGAAGCACAAATTTACTTTTAGTACTCTTTGCCCTGACAAGTTGAAACAAAAGAAAGGAAGATTTGCTTCAAATGAGAACAAATAAGAGTTTATTACAAATGTGTCATCCGAAACTTAATGGGATTGGCTTAATAAAAAAAAAGGAGTGAAATATTTGACTTCTAGTAAATCATGTGCAATATTAGTGTATCAAATATTTGAAGTTAAAAGAAATTCAATACTGCAAAAATGGCTAATGATGCCATTTAAATCTCTATAAGGTCTGTTCAAAATAAAAATTATCAGATTTCTAGATGTTATAGATGATGTAAAGAGCACATTAAAAAAGTCCAAAATATGTCAGTTTGAATTATTTATTAGAATATGCTTAAAATACAGTATGAAATTCTGAAACAAAGACAGATTTCTAAAAGTTCTCCATATTATGTTCATTGTCAATTTAACACATTCAGTATAACACATCTCAGTATCCACTATAATTAATTAATCTATTACAATTAATGACCACAAATTATTTGCTCATAACTATTTTAAAATAATTTTAGGTCTACATACAAAATTACAAAGAGAATACAGAGATTTCCCATATACTCCTTACATAATTCCTACTCTTACTCATAGCAACCCTGTAGGACAGAGTAGAACTACCCCATAGGATCCAAGGAACGGTTGGTGGATTTGAACTGCCTACCTTTTGGTTAGCAGCCATAGCACTTAACCACTGTGCCACTAGGGCTCCACACATAGTTCCCCCTAATGTTAATAACTAATGATACGTTCACCAAACTAAGAAACCAACATTAGTACATTAATATTAATAATAACTAAATTTCAATTGTATGGAGTAACTAAAGCTAATCAAATAATGAGCCCAAGAACATCTCATGTCCTTTTATAAGGGAAAAAAGCTACCACTTTGACTAAATAATAATACCTTTGAATTAAGATTTAGACATGTAGTGTTACATTGGATTCTCTTCAGATGAATTGAAAATAAAATAATTTGGACAGGATTTATAATTAAATCATGTATGAGAGCTGTATTACCTTCCATGCTGAGATTAACTTCAATTTATATTCGTCATGGAAGACCAATTTTAGAAGGGTCAGTTGGTGGAGCCAGTTTGTCCAGAGAGATTTTCATCTGCCTCAAGATTTTTTTTTTTTTTTTTTTTGACTAATTCACTCAAGTTGTCCCTATCCTTAAATTTTCTTGACAAAAACAAGGGTAAGTTATTTGGCACAGTATTTTTTTCCTGTTTATGTATTGAGGCGTACCTAAAATTAATCACAACATATTTATATTTTCATGCTATAAATGGCCTTTATTGAAAAGAAGAATTCATGAAATAGAGATTGTTCTGGAAAACACAGGACATAGCACTTATATCCTGGCAACCAACTAATTGGTTGCACCTGGTCCTCCAGGGAAATCAACTTCTTATGTGCTAGGATTGTCTGCTGCTTCTCAAGGCCAGCAAGAAAGGAGGAATAATATGAACTTCCATGAAAACAAAACAAACTTAAATCCTACATAAAGTAATTAGACTTTTGGAATTGCTCTAATTTCACCCTTGTAGGATGTTTTACATTTGAGCGATAAAATGGGGGGTGGGGTGCATATTCTGGGTTCTGTTGCATTTATTTTTCAGACAGATCTATCGCTTTAGCCATTTTTGTAGGATGTGGAAGATTTTTTCTCGTGCTTGAATTAGTTCAGCTGAATCAGTATCTTTTTGTTTGAACATTTCTGAACAATGTCCTTCACCTAAAAAGAGAAAGATAAATGTCAGAATACTTACATACCAAGTATTCAAAGAGCAGGTGTCCTTAATCCCCAGCTGCACATTAGAGCCACTTTGAACCCTGTTCAAACCAACCAATACCTGAGCCTCAAACTTCAGAGGTTCTAATTTAGTTAGTTTGGGTGGGGCTGGTATCAGTAATTTTCATAAGCTGGTTAAAAGTTAATTAAAATGTGCACTTATAATTAAGAAAGAGAATTAGTTTACTAATACAATGGGCTTTGAGTCAAAGAAGTAAGCTTCTTTGTAGATTAAGTTTGGAGAAATATATGATATTAATTAAAATGAGTTATTGTTGGTGTCTGTGCAATCCTTCCATGCTACAAATTAATGAACGTTTCTGGGAATGATTAAGGTAGTAGATTTAGAGAATAATGTTTTTAGTTTCCTTTTTGTTCAACCCAACTGTGACATAAATTAAGTTCCATCTGAGGAAGTTACCATGTCTGAATCTCAGTGAGTATTCTTTTAGAGAGTTTTCCCAGTGGTCTACTGGAATTGCACTGTACCAGATCCAAGAGCCGATTGTTCAATTTTCAAAAATTCTACAAGCTAGCTGTTAAACTGTGAGCTTGAAACTGGCCATGATGGAAGTATTTACACCGTGAAAGTCAGCAGATGCTAAAAAACAGGTTTTTGTTTTGTTTTGTTTTTGTTTTTTCCCCTTTTAGGAGAATGGGTTAATAAACATATAACATATGAGAATAAGATCAAACAGATGAAATTTGATGGAATCTTAAATATTAGTCAACCCTTTAATTTTACAGATGTGGAACCTATGCCTCAGAGAGTTTAAGTGACTTGCCAAGAAAATTACTAGTAGAACTAAGAATTGAACCCAGCTGACCAGAGTGTCTGTCACAGGCTGGTTTATGTAACATATACTGTCAAATATGAGCTCAGGGTTTTACAAATAAGCATCTAGCCAAACCAAAAACACGACAAAATGGAAGAAAACATTTGCCTTAAAGTCGATTCTAACTCATGACGAATCCATTTGTTTCAGAGTAGAACTGTGCTCCATTTGGTTTTCAACGGCATGATCTTTTGAAAACAGATCACCAGGTCTTTTTTCTGAGGCACCACCAACCTTTCTGTTAGCCGAGCACTTAACCATTTCCACAACTCAGGTATTCCAAGCATCCATCCATACAGTATTATTTATTTTAGGGGCAAGATGTATTTGCTGTTACCAAAAAATCCCTTGGTGCCAACTCGATTCCGACTAATTGTAACCCTTTAGGAAAGAGCTGAACTGCCCCATAGGGTTTCGAAGGCTGTAATCTTTATGGAAACAGACAGCATCTTCCTCCTGCAGAGTGACTGGTGCATTTGAATGTCAAACTTTCTGTTAGCAGCCGAGCATTTAACCATTGCACTACCAGGGCTCCTAGTTTTCTTTTAAGAAGCTAAAATTATGTAATAACTATGACACATACAGACAGTGGAGTATTATTCACCTTTAAAAAACAATGAGAAATATTTCTATGCACTTATATGGAAAGACCTCCAGTCTATATTGGTAAGTGAAACAAGGAAGGTGTAGGACAGTGTATATAATATGCTACCACTTGTTTACCAAGGGATAAGAATATATATGATTGTATTCACAAAATGCAGGAGCCCTGGTGGCACAGTGGTTAAAATACTCAGCTGCTAACCAAATGTCAGCAGCTGGAACCCACTAGCTACTCTGCAATATAATGATGTGGCAGTTTGCTTCCATAAAGATTTACAGCCTTGAAAACCTTTTGAGGAAGTTCTGTTCAGTCCTATAGGGTAAATAAGAATTGGAATCAACTTGCTGGCAGTGGGTTTTTTTTTTTTTTTTTTTTTGTTTGCAAATAAAGAAATACTGTAAATATGAACAAAAAACTAATAGAGATGGCTCCCTAATGGGTTAGGAGAAAAACAGAGTAGGAATGGTGTCTTAGTCATCCAGTGCTGCTATAACAGAAATACTATAAGTTGATAGCTTCCACAAAGAGAATTAAATAATTCTCTCACAGTCCAGCAGGCCAGAAGTCCAAACTCAGGGCACCTGCTCCAGGAGAAGGCCTCTCTCTGTCAGCTCTGGAGGAAGGTCCTTGTTATGCATCAGTCTTCCCTTGGTTGGGGAGCATTGCAGCGCAGAAACTTCAGGTCTGAAGGACGCGCTTTGTTCCCAGCACTGCTTTCTTGGTGGTATGAGGTCCCCAAGTCTCTGCTTGCTTCTCTCCTTTATATCTCAAAAGAATTGGCTTAAAACACTATCTATCTAATATAACTGCCGCTAATTCATCTTATTACATCATAGTGATAGGATTTACAACACATAGGGAAATCACCTCAGATTAAAAAATGGTAGACAAATCATACAGTACTGGGAATCATGACCCAGCCAAGTTGACACACATATTTTTGGGGGACACTATTCAGTCCATGATAAAAGGTAAGACTTCTGTCTGTGAAAAAGAAACAAAGGCCATGACAACTGACAGGTGGTTACAAACCACAGTGTTTCCTATAAACATAAACAACTTCACAGAATTTCAACTTCAGATGAGGTGACATCTTCACTGTGATGAGATCAGGCACAAATAACACCACCCTGTAATCATGTGTGAACATGGACAAAAACAAGGACACCCTACAATCACAAGGAGTCCCTGGGTGATGCAAATCATTAAGTGCTCTGCTACTGACTGAAAGACTGGCAGTTTGAATCCACCCAGAAGTGCCTTGGAAGAAAGTCCTGGCAATCTACTTCCAGAAGATCATAGCCATTGAAAACCTTATGGAGCACAACACTACTCTGAAACACATGAGGTCGCCATGAGTGGGAGTCAGAACTGGTTATTATTGTACAACATCAAAAGTAACAAACTATCCCTCTCTTCCAGGCTGACATAAGTAACTACTACTTTGCTACCACCACAACTCTAGTCCCACTTTATTGCTCCTGCCTCCTAAATAAAAATTATAAAGATTGTCAGACACTGAATTGCCTCAACTGACTTACAGCATTTAATTTTGACCAATGGCCAAATTTCAACATGCCAAAGTATAAAATGATAGTTCTGACACATACTGAAATTATGAATATTCAAGGATACATAATGAAATTCAAAAAGAAAAAGCAGGTTATTATACCATCTTGATTTTATTATTATCTAATATAATGAGCCGTAAAGCTATATTTTCAATGAGCACAAAGAACTAATTGAATATAAGTTCAATTAGAAATGGGATATATAAAAAAGATGTGGAAATGGAGGTGAAGAGGAAAAGTCATATTTATCTACAAAATTTGCCTCAATACTTCAAATTATTCTGTAGTTACAGATAAGTTGTCTTTTCTTCAGCCAGTGTGAACCACCTGAAAATAAGACTTTGTTCTTCTTAGCAGGTTCTCTTCATTTTTATAATTACATGAGTAGCATTTTTATTTCCGCGTACAATCTCTGAACATCAACCATGTACTAGGCATCATGGATTCAAAGATAAATAAGATCTGGTTCCAGTGATCAATGATCCTAACTTTCTTCTCTTTCTCAATTTTGTTTAGACATCTGTGACCCAGGAAAGCTCTCTCTGCAGTTATTTGATCAATGTCTGTCTCACATGTATGACGAGTAGCTCCCAGGAGCAGTGACTATGTGCACCCTTACACATTTAGTGTCCAGCACAGCATCTGACACAAGAAGACCATTCATAAATATTTTTAAGTGAATGAATTTGAGCACTCCTTCTTACTAATTTCCAGGAAAGGAAGTATTTGCAACGGCTTTCTCAGGTTTTCGAGGTCTTTTTGTAATCATAAGAACTTATATCTCCAAACAACTTGGGAGGCAGGTTGCACAATGGTTAAGGAGCATGACCTACCGTGAGGCTCCTTGGCTTTGAGTTCTGGTCCTACTACTTATTACAGTGTGAGTCTTAGGCCAGTTGTCTTAACCTCTGTATAATTCCCTGGGTGGTACAAACTGTTGATACATTCCTCTGCCATGAGAAAGCTAGTAAAGCTTGGAGGTTTGAATCCACCCAGGGATGCCTCAGAAGAAACGTCTGGATATCTACTTCCATTAAAAAAAAAAAAAAAATCATCCATTGAAAACTCTATGGAGCATACTTCTACTCTGACACACACAGGGTCATTAGGAGTTGGGGTCAAATTCACAGCAACAGGTTTACTGGTTTTATGGTCAGTTTCCTTATCTGTAAAATGAGAAATGTGATAGCAATTACCCTTGATTGTTAGGAGGATATTATGAGATTATACATGTAAAGTTTGACCTGCATTGTTCAATATGGTATCCACCATGACCTACATGTGGCTATGTTCTTTTTGTTCAGTGCCATCAAGTAGGTTCCGATTCATAGTGACCCTACGTACAACAAAACGAAATGCTGCCTCATCCTGTGCCATCCTCACAATCATTGTTATAACTGAGCTCACTATTGCCAGTGATTCTTCTTCAGTCTTCCTTATTCATTGTCCAGCTTTCACATGCATATATGGTGAATGAAAACACCATGGCTTGGGTCAGGCACACCTTAGTCCTTCAAGTGACATCTTCACGTTTTAACACTTTAAAGAGATCTCTTGCAGTTGATTTCCCCAATGCAATGCATCCTTTTATTTATTGACTGCTGCTTCCATGGGTGTTGATAGTGGATACAAGTCGACCCTCAACTTATGGTGACCCCATACACAGCAGATCTAATTGCTTTCTGGTGCTGGGGCATTCCGTGACTGGTTGCAGATCAAACCATTGTGACCCATAGGGTTTACATTGGCTGATGCCAAGAAATAGATCACCAGACTTTTCTTCCTAGTTTGCCTTAGTTTAGAAGCTCAGCTGAAACTGTTCAGCATCATAACACACACAAGCCTCCAGTGACAGAGAGGTGGTGGCTGTACATGATGTGTATTGTCCTGGAATCCAACCTGGTTCTCCCATATTGAAGGCAAGAATTCAACTACTGAATCAATGTAGCCTTCTTAATTTATTATTACATGCTGATATATTTCATCCTATTTGTAGGCTTTAACTGTTTACAATGGTTACCTTTAATGAAAACAGCAGGCAAATCTTTACTGATATCCTTTGTGATTCCCAGAGTGTGCCAAGGATCAAAGGAACTGTTGAGAAAGATGATTTTGCTTCCCCTCACATTGAAGCCGCCATAGTACGCATTGGTAGACATAACACTTGTCTTCAGTGAATCGTAGTTAAACTCTGGGCCAAAGACATCAGAACATAGCTTAACAAAATAACTGCAAAGAAAATGAGACAAACTTTTAGGCACTGGAGAGCAGGATTGAGGAGTGTAAGAAAGATATTTACAGAAAGAGTGTGGTGTTTTCTGGTTTTTCAGTTTTGTTCTCCCCTGAGTTCTGAGTTACTTAAAATAGCTAAAAGGATTTCTTCAGTTTAAGAATGAAAGTTATCTCTGTCTCTCTGTCTCTGTCTCTCTCTCTCTCTCTATCAATCCTAGTCCAGCCTCTCCTTCTATGAAGTGTTCTAATAGATAAGCACAGAGGAATGTGGCCAGCAAAGTAATTTTCTATAGGACCCTTGGCCAACTCAATGTAGAACCTTAGTGAGGAGGCTATAGAAACCACATGCTGCTGTTTTCTGGACTCCAACTAGGGCTTCAGAACAAGAAAGCAGAAAATTCTTTTCTTTGTCTTCCCACCAAGTCCAACCTTGAACCTAGACTAGTAACCACTGTGGAAGGAAGAAAACTCAATGTATAGCCTGTCCACTTGTTAAGAAGGAAGAGAGTATAGAGGCAGTGAGAGTGAAAGACTGCCTCTAATGCAGAGAAGTATGCCCCCGGGCTCCTCAAACCCATCCAGTTCTAGTTGTTCTAGCCCTGAGGGTTTAGAACATCAGAGAAAGACTAAAGAAGGGAGCCAACCCGAAAGCAAGATTTCTACTCCTGTGTCCTAGGAGAAAAACGATATGTAAAGGAACAAAGGGCTGATAATGTGAATGGGACTTCTCTCCACACTGGTGGAACAGACACCAAAAGATGTCTGGCTACAGTAGATGTTTGCCCCAATATAGGTAACTTCACCATAGACATCACTCTTAAAAAGTCTGGTCCAATTAGTACACTTGACTTTGACTAAGTCACAGCTCCATTCCCCATTAGGAAATTTGAGTTTTGGGGGACTTTCATAGGAAAAACTAAAAGCTCGAAGCTCATACTTTTTTCCCCAAGTTTATACTTTTTTCATGGTTTTACCCTACAAGATATTTTTACATATTGTAATATCTATGCATTTTCATGTACAAGATATCTACACACAGACATACTTGGATACATATAAAGAATGCTCCTCCTGCAATTTTAACTATAAGATTGCCTTTAAAGTTCTTCAAATTTATTAGCTTCTGTTTCTGGTGGACAAATCTAGAGATCAGGAACAATATCTTGCTCTACAAACCCAGTCAATATGAACAAAGGTTCATAAACCAATGAGAGAGAATTTGACTAAGGGTGATCTGTCTGGCTTCATACAACAAGCAAATCTTGGCTGACATAAAATTCAAAATGGATGGAGAAATTGCCTTCTTTCTTTACAACTTTACTGTCACCTATCTTCCTTAATTAGATTTTTCAATAAACACACAAAGTACCTTCTTGGTAAAAGGGTGTTAAATAAAATGACCCTGTATGCCAACCAGTAAGAATGAGGCTATTAGTTTATTTATTCTTATTCATTCTCAAAACCTATATGGTATTTCCTGGCGGCTACTAATTAAGTTAGATTTGGAAAACTGATATTGGATTCTACATATCTTATTGGAATATTATTAATTTCTCAAACTTCCATCCAGAAGATTTCTCCCTTAAATTTTCACCAATTTGAAATTGGCCAATCTGATCAATTTGAGTATGGAAAAACAAACAAACAAGAAACCTACTATCATGGTTTCTAGTGACAAACAGAAGTCAAAGCAGAGCCTTTACCTGAGAGGCACTCCAGTGAAGGGCTGGTTCTTTGAATCCGTGGTCTTAAAGAAACCAAATTCAGTGCAAGACTGATAGAACCATTGCCTGCCTAGAAAGCAAAACATCAATTGACTTAATCAGAAATGATATTTTTGTCAATTACCAAAGAAAAAGCTTAAACAAATTCATTACTCTAATTTACATGATACTTGTGAACTTCTAAAACAAATTTCACCTCATTATTATTTTTAGTCATGTCCAACATTACCACACCAAGACTTGAAACTATGTCCAGTGAGGAGATTCTAGTGAGGTCCTCACATGCTCCTAGAGTAAACCTATCTCATTCCCTCAGAACCATCTCCATGAGCACCTCAGTTCTGACTTCCTGTCTGTCCTCTCACTCCAGCCTCTGCTGGGAACACACTCCATTCTCTCTGCATCTGCCTCTAGTTAACTCCTCCTCAGAATGTTCCAGGCCCTACTCCATGAAGTTTCATGAAGGAGGTATGCACACTCGATGCCCCTGTCCCTCACCATCTCTATGTCTTCAGACATGCTGTGACTGCAACTTCTCCCCAAGAGGTCACCAATATTGGTAAGATGACATAAATCAATTAATCCAATTGTGGATAATAACTTAGAAGTTCAGTTCATCTAAAATCTAGCAGCTATGCCAAAAATTTACTTGTCTTTGAGTCATTTATTTAAACATTTTAAGAACTATTCCTACAGAAAATAGCTTGAAGTTGTAGGTATATTGGATGTCAAACAGACTAATGGGAGGTTAGGAGGTGCTAACAATTTTTGCTCGAATACTAACCTAAAGGCTGGCAATTTGAACCCACTCAGCAGTGCTGCACTAGAAAGGCCTGATGATGTGGTACTGTAAAGATTATAGCCAAGAAAATCCTATGGTCCAGTTTTGCTCTGTAACACATGGGGTCATTATGAGTTGAAATTGACTGGACGGCAACAGGTTAGGTCATTCCAGAGTGTAACCTTGTTTGAAAACTGCTCTATATAGAATTGGAAGTGGGGTGAGGTATTTTCTTGGCATCAGCGTGCTTGATTAATGTTGCAAAGTACTAAGGGGCACCTTTCTGTATTCTGCTTCTTGCAATCCTAAGAATTTGGTATTTCTGAATCTTTTATTAGCATGCTTTAATCTGGGTATATGCAGCTCCTTAACTCATTCACTCTCTCTTCCCATCCTTGAGTAAATTACCACAGTTCTGATTATTTTGTAATTCCTCATTTTCACCAGATAACACTTTACCTTGTGTAGGATTGTGTTTATTTATGGAAGAGTCAGATAAGGTTTTCAGTTTATCATCATAATTTGCAGCAAGGCAAGGCAAAAATGCTTCCTTTATCACGGAATGTGTAATTTTTAGAAATCTGTAATATGGTGAGCCCAGTGATGTGTTAGTCATGGTGTCACAAAGGTCGTCAATCCTGATTAAGACCTGATTTCCCTGCAAAAATTGAGATTCCGATTATCCTTAAGAGAATAGACATGGGATGGCTTTCAGCTCCAAATGGAATTAAACTCCAAAATTATTTTAAATGACTTAGGTGGTTGATTTTAATTCCAATAAGGTACTATTAGTCTTTGGTGACTTGGCTTGAAGATCAGCTTCTGAAAATTATCAGCTCACCTGTATGGGTTGCAGACTCGACTACAAGGAAGTCAACATCCCTTGTGCAAGACACACAGCTCATGAAAGCACTTGCTTTAACAAAAGTTTTTGGTATTCAGGTAGGTATCTTGTTTGGAAGAGGTTACAAATAAGCAAGCTTTGACTGAGCATGCAGTACCTTGCTAGAGCAGTGCTAGAACCTGTGGGAGGCGTAAAAGACAAGAACTAACACTTCGGAAGGATCCAGTCGAAGAAGACAAGATACATAAAATATGAAAACGTTAATGAGCTACTCTGGGAATTCTGAGTTTTGTGAGGACTAGAATCATGAGAAAAGGCTTCTTAAGGAGGTAGGAGTTGAGGGGAACCTGGAAGATTGTGTAAGGTTTAAATAAATAGCAGTAAGTAGAGTGCATTTGTATGATTATACTAATATGAAGTATGTAAAATAGATAAAGGTATAAAGATTAGTTTTTCATAGTGATTACAGGGCAAAGAAGGACAGAGAAAGGGGAGAATCATTTTTCAGGTAATATAGAGTTTTTGTTTATGGGGATGGAAAATTTGGCAATGAATACTGATGATGTTTAAACATGTTTAATGTTATCGTTTTAATTGAATTGTACATGTGAGAAATGTTGAATTTGCAAATGTTGAGTTTTTCATATTTTACCAAAATTAAAAAAGGAGAGTACATTTTAGGGAAGAGGGGAAATATGTCTGAAGAAGTGATGGCAAGGATGTGCAATGTCTAAGAGGATGGTCAGTCAGTAGGCCAGAATGTGTAACATTGAGTTAGTTATTGAAACTGTCTGAGCCTTAGTTTGCTCATGTGCTCAATGTGGACAATAATAATAAACTAATCAGAATAGCTCATAAGATTGCTGTGAGGATTAAATAAAAGCAGCCCTAAGGATAGTGCCTGGAATAAAGTCATTCTATAAGAAGCAGCATTGCTATTATAATCATTATTATATTTCTTCTTCCATTTTTTTATTGTAGTAAGTACACAGGAATTAAAATATTTGCCATGTCTACTATCTTTACATACACAGTTCAGTGATACTAATTACAATCAACATATTGTTCAACAAATACCATGTTATTATTATTTTTTAGTCAAGAGAACTACTCAAAAGGAAAAAAAACTGGAAATATCTATTGTTCATAGACTGTGGTTAGATCATGGAACTCTTACACTTTTGTTGATTATCAGTATAAAAGGGATAAACGGCCTGTGTAGAAAAGTTTTTAAAGGAACAATAAAACTTATTGTTTCCAATCTGCTACCTATAGAGAGCCATAAAAGATTTTGTGTGGATGAAGGTCAAATCTGTTGGCAGAATTACACTTTCCAAATTACGCTTGGTGAATTGTCTGTGAATTTAGGAATCCCTAATGCCACACTTGGAATTCCTGGGTGGTGCAAACGGTTAACATGTTGAGCGGCTAACCAAAAGTCTGGAGGTTCAAGCCCGCTAAGAGGTGCCTCAGAAAAAAAGGTCTAGCAATCTACTTCCAAAAAATCATCTAATGGAAACTCTGTGGAGCACAATTCTATTGTGACACACATGGAGCCACTATGAGTCAAAATACACATGACAGCAACCAGTTCATTGAATGCTACATTTGCACAGAAAATCTGAAGCTGACAGCCAACATAGAAAGGGTTGCTAGAGAAGCTGAATGTGATGAAAGGAAATATAATTATCCTTTATTAACTCATTTTTCTCACATGCAATAGGACTTCCCATTGTGGGATTATGGGAAGGGGTAAGGAGAGCTCTGGTGGTGCAGCAGTTAAGAGCACCACTGATAACCAAAAGGTCTGCGTTTCAAATCCACCAGCTACTCCTTTGAAACCCTGTGGGGAGTTTTACTCTGTCCAATAGGGTCGCTTTGAGTCAGAACTTACTCGATGGAAATGGATTTGTCTTCTTTTTTTTTTTTTTTAAGGACAGATATTAGCAGTTAGCATAGAAAAAAGTCTTGAATTGTACTTATGTTTTGTATGAATCACCTGAAGACCTGATGCCTGCTTCCCACTCTAGAGGTTTTGCAATGAGGCCAAGGAATCTGCATTTTTAACATGCATGTCTGGTAAGTGTGCCGCAAATTGGTTCTCGTGACAATTGCAAAAATTCTGGTAGAGCTGAATCCTCTTAGATGCTGATATTGAAAGAAAAAAGTACCCTCACCGTGTCACCTATATAGTGGCATTTCAGGGGGTTTGGTTTGATTTGGAATAGCTGAAGCCCTATTAAAACCAGGCATAGATTTGCAGGGTTTGCTTGAGTGAGGGAAAAAGCCTTCAAAAGCCCATAATTGGCTAAGCATCATCTGTGTACATGGCATCACATTAGGTATCAAGGGATTAATACATATTCCTCATTTTTACTAGGCTCTTCTACTAGGGCAAAACTAAATATCACCTTTTGCTAGAGTTGTATGTTAGTTCGGCAAAAAGAAAACCACATGAATTTCAAACCACTTACCTCGCCATATAGCATGTAAAAATCCTCCAAGTCTAACTTTAATCTATTATCAGAATATAAGCTAGATTTTTACATAAGAAAATTCTATGCTGTAAAAATTTTAAATGTGTAGTTGCCAATCCATGTATTTCTAAGACCTCTCTGAGATTGCAGTCATGAAACAAAAGGTACAATAAAGTCTCTTGTAAACAACAATAATCTTGGAAATGTAAAAAAAAAAAAAGGTGTTAAAGAGAAAAGGTTATCCCTGACCAAGCCCTTTCCAACCACTTCCTAACTCCAAAGCACACCTCAAGAAATTATTGGGTATTATTCAGTAAAATCACTAAGCCAACAGGTGCTGAGGGAAAGAATCTGCCTTGTGAAGATTAAAGTTTGAATTTTCATGAGCCCATTGGCCTCCTTTACAGGTTCTTCCATGAAGACACTATCCTGCCATCATCTGCAGAACAGTCTCGCCTCTTGGCTTTGCTTTATATTGGTTGTGTTACTGCAAGCCTGTTACTTCACCTCTCTGAGGATCAGGGTCCATATCTCTAAATGCGGAGATAACAATGCCTACCTAAAAAAGAAAAGAAAAAACACTGCCATCAAGTCAACTCTGACTCATAGTGACCCTATAGGACAGAGTAGTACTGCTTTATACAGTTTCCAAGGAGCCCCTGGTGGATTCGAACTGCCAACCTTTTGGTTAGCAGCCATAGCTCTTAACCACTACATCACCAGGGTTTCCTTCCAAATGCCCACCTACAAGAGTATATTAGAGTAAATGAGATAACGTTAGTGGACCTGTCCTGTAGATTTTTGCATCTCAGTTGCGATCATTAAATCTGATATTTTCCATAAGAGAGTGAACATTTAATTTTGCAAAAAGGAAGGGAGGAAGAAAGAAAGGATAGAAGGAGGGAAGATGGAAAGAAAAGAAAGAGAAAGGAAGTGAGGACAAAATCATTTACTTAATTTGGAGTCTTTTAAAAAAGAAGTTAAGAAAACATAATGTATATTATCACAGTAGTCAACACATGGATTTTAGTCAGAGAAAGTCACATTGAAATTCTGACTCAGCCACTTAGTAGCCTTGTGTCTTTGGGCAAGTGATTTAAAGCCTTGAAGCCTGGGCTCTTCGTTTGTAAAATAGGACTTAAACAGAGATACTGTGGGAATTTTTAGGAGAAAAACTATAAACTACTTAGCATAAGTCTGTGCAAGGGTAAGCCCTTGATCTGTGGTATAATTATTATTCATTAACAACATGGAGCAAGTCAAGGCCATTGAACATCCAACTTGTTTTGATACAAGTCCATTACGTTTGCAAAAGATCAAACTGCATGATCTTGGCCTTCTGATAGAACAACTACCAGCCTCAAAAGTAACCTCTAAACTGTTTTGCAGGCCATTGGAGGCTAGCCATATAATTTTTGACTCCTAAATCCTAGAATGATTGTCATCTTTGCTGAGAATTCCTATTAGCCAAATCAGAGACCAGGCATATCAGTTACAAAGTCAGCAAATCCTCCTTTCTTTTGAGTAAGAAGAAGGGCACAAAATTAACACTTACAGATTAAATCACAGGGAAATAACTATACCTGAAGAATTATTTTAATTCTGGTCAAATGTGGGCCTTGCATACCCTTAAAGAGATCTAAAAAATGCATATAGACTCAACTCAATAATTTAATAATTATTAATTATTCAGTAATAAAAGACTTATGCATGATATTCAAATCAGAAAACAGATATACAAATCATTACTTAAATGATCCTTTGAAACAATCAAGAATTTTCTCCATAAATTACTTCCAAAGAGAAGAGAGAGCAAAGTGTGACCCTCATCTCTTCCGTGTAACTAAAATAGCCAGGTGTGCTGGGGGATGGGAACAAGAAAATGTATGTGGATGATTCTGTTGTTTCAGACCCTTAGTAATGGTTTTTGGGGAGAGAAGTCATTGGGAGTGTCTGCTCCTCAGCCTGACCTTGTTATTCCCAGCACGTGTTACCAAGAGTTAGGGGCAGCTCCTTTCTCAGAATGACTCCAGCATTCAGAAGATTCTGAACCCAACATTGGTCTTAGGTTTCTTAAAGTAATCACTAACCTAGTAACCTTTGACTCATTCAAAGTCAGTCATATATACAACATTTATCTTTTTGTTTTTGGAAAGATGATTTTCTACCAAGACTTTAAAGTTTAATTTTACAAATATTTCCTTTGTTGGGCACTTCACATATATTATTATTGAACGCCTGTTATGGGTTGAATTTTGTCCCCCTAAAAGTTATATTGCAGTCCTAACCGCTGATCCCTGTGAATGTGATATTGTTTGGAAATAGGGTCTTTGAAGATTTTATCAGATAAGTTAACATGATGTCCTACTGGAATAGGTGAGTCATACTCCAATACGAGTGCCTCCACATAAAAGAGGAGAACAGACACAGAAAGACATGTAGTAATGAAGGGAAAAAAGCCATGTTATGATGACGTTATGATGCAACTACAGTCCAAGAAATGCCAAAGGTTACCAGAAGCTGAAAGAGACAGTGAAGAATCTCCCCTAGAACCTTCAGAGAGTACATGGCCCAGCTGACACCCTGAATTAGTAATTTTAGACTACAGAATGGTGAGACACTAAGTTTACGTTGTTGAAAGCCATATCCTTTGTGATAATTTGTTAAGGCAGCACTAGGAAACTACTACAATGGCCCATGATGTAGGTGCATTAGCCCCAAAAGCCTTGGAACTAGTAATACTAACCTCATGGGGTATCCTGTTATGAGTCACATAGATAACAAGAGATAGAAACTGTGGAGAAGGGGGCCTGGAGATCTAGCTTGACCCATATAAATGTTCCTTCTCCAGATACCAAAGAAAAACTGAATGGGAGCCAGGCAGAGTCTCTGTTCTAAAGAATGCTATGATCTATAAGCAGAAATGTACTCCTAGAGCACCAAATGAGATGGAGAAATATATATATATGATAAGATCACAAATAAAATGCTGTGGGTGGGGAGCACTGGTAAAGAAAGAAGAGGTTGTATCTGCTTAGAGCAGTCAGGAGAGATTTCATGGGGAGGGGGTGACTTTTAAAATATGCACTTAATGTATTTTGATGGGAACAAGAATAGGGAGCCTTCCAGAAGATTAGAGTAACATGAGGGGAAATGTGCATGAGAGTACAAGAACAGCAAATTGTAGAATATGGCTAGAACATAAGTTACAAAATTTGGAAGAATGGGACTTGCAGTAAAAGCAGACTGAATACATTTTGTAGTAGTTCATTCTGTTGATGAGGAAGGTTTCTAAGGGCTTTTTAGCAGGAGAAGCAATGAGATAAGAGCTGTGCTTTAGGAAGATTAACCTAGAGTTTGGTATACAAAGAAGTGGGTTAGAGGCAGACAGGAGGCAGGAAGACAAATCAGAAGGCCTATTAAGGATCCGAATGAGAATGGAAAGGAATAACAGTGAAGGAGGGTATGGCCACAATTGTCTGTTTTTACCACTCTTTTCCCAGCACATAGCACAGTGCTGGCACTAAGTTGGTACTCAGTGTGGGAGGATAGAAGCAAGGGAGGAAGAGAGAGACAGAGTGTTGGAAGGAGGGAGAGAGAGAATTGGGGAAGGAGGGAAAGTATGAGAGACATTTCCATAACGACTTTGGAAACTGGTGTGTAATATTCTCAACTCATGATTATGAAGCTACCGCACTCAAAAAAAGCGTACAGAAAAGCTGGTGAGCTCCAGGTAAGATCTGTAGTCTAGTTAACTGTATTGTGCCAATGTCAATTGATTTTGATAATGTACTATAGTTATATAAGATGCTTATATTGGATAAGAGCAGATGAAAGGAACATGAGACATCTCAGTATACTCTTTGTAACTTCTTGTGATCCCATAATTAGTTCAAAATAAAAAAGATATAAAATAAATCAATGCAAGTTGTAAACCAATTTATCCCCTTGTCCTAGCAGACGTCTGTCCTGGTACTTACTCTCTCTGGCAGTTTACCTGGCTGGGTTAGAACAAGGTGACCTGTGGGGTGAGGCTGTCTTGGATAGGTATCCCTTGCTCTGGACATGTACCTTAATCTCTGATATTCCTCAAAAAAAACTTTATTTCCCTAATCTCCCCAAAAAGTTGTGACTTTTTCTGAGTTATATCAAAGTTCACAAGTTTTCCATTTCAAAATCCGTCTTATTCCATGATCCAGTGTATCAAAAGTGCTAAAAATATTATTGTCTTTATATTCAAATTTTCTTTTAAATTTTCTGCAACTGGCAGTTATTTAAACTATAAAAATTCAACATATTTTTCTCTTCAGTCCATGCAAGGCACTAATTCCATTATTTTCTATTTAATTATAATTGTTTTTATGAAATAGATGAGGGTCAGGGTAATCTTAATGAATGGGACAGCTTTCTAATTTTTTTTAAATAGAAGATTTTATTGAAGTAGTTGAATTCTTACAGTGCATCCATTATTATTCCATTATTCCATCTTTTAAAAGAGTTTCCAACTGTATTTAGAATAAAAGATGAGTAAGAAGATGATGTTTTGGCATATTAATAATTCAGTAGCTGACGTATTTCATCATTTAGTTTTATTGTCATACTAGAGGCTTGTGTGTGTTATTTTAATTTTTAAAGAAATACCCACGCCATTTATATCTTTCTCTACAACTAATTTATGACACCTAGACAACTAGTGAATGCCTACTTGAGCTTTTCTTTCTTCATCTCTTCCCTGCTTTATTTCATCATCTTCTTACCTTATTGTTTCTTTTATTCCTATTGTTTTGAACATTGGCTGCAACAGGCAAGATCAAACGTTCCAGAAGAAAAGTTGTGTCCATTACTGAGTTAAATTTAAAATTTTTGCATAACCTGTGGGAAAGAAAACAGGAGAATACACTTGAAATTTCACTTACTTTAACCTATAAACTGAAATGTAGAAAATAATCCAGAATGAATTAATACTAGATTTCTTCAGAATATTTTTACTGCGCAAGGAGAAATAAATTATGGTCCCTACTTTTAAGTTTTCAAAACATGTGTATGAAAATAATCCCATCCAACATTTTTGTAACACTGCTCTTGTCAAAATGTCATTCTTGTTGTTAGTTGCCCTCATGTCAGTTCCGATTCATAGCTACCCTATGTACAACGGAAGGAAACACTGACCTGTCCTGCACCATCCTCACAATTGTTATGCTTCAACCCATTGTTGCAGCCAATGTATCAATCCACTTCATTGAGAATCTTCCTCTTTTTTGCTGACCCTCTACTTTACCAAGCATAATGTCCTTCTCCAGGGACTGATCCCTCCTGATAACATTTCCAAAGTATGTTAGACGTATTCTTGCCATTTTTGCTTCTAAGGAGAATTCTGGCTGTATTTCTTCCAAGACAGATTTGTTCGTTCTTTTGGCAGTCCATAGAATATTCAGTATTCTTTGCCAACACCATATTTCAAAGGTGTAGATCCTTCTTCGGACTTCCTTATTCATCGTCCAGCTTTCCCGTGTATATGATGTCACTGAAAACACCATGGCTTGGGTCAGGCTCACCTTAGTCTTCAAGGTGACGTCCTTGCTTTTCAACACTTTAAAGAGGATTATTGCAGCAGATTTGCCCAGTGCAAATCCTTGCACAGGTACAGAATCCGATACAAAATCCTTACTCTGTATACTGTATAAATGGTAACTGACTTCTCTTTTAGAACAGATAATAGCAGAAATGGGAAATCAAATCAACCATACACACTACAGAGAAATGAATGATACCATAGATTAAATAGACCTGTGAGATATATTAGTTCCTGTAAACAGTCAGGAATCATGTATAAGGAGATAGCTAAAGTAAATATAAGAGTATTCACAAACACACAATGGCAAACATTTTCCATGGATGGGTATTCTGGACAGTACTGGGGCAATTTAGATCTCAGGGCTATTCTGCTGGAGGTATTGAGGTGTGAGCAGTTCTGAGGACTGCAAATTACATTGTGATCTTAAAAAAGTAGGTTAAGTTTCTAGGTATTAATTTTTTAAATCTATAAAATGACAGAGTTAGAACTAGATGATCTCTTAGAGCCCTTCCACAAATTAAATTCTAGAGAAGTGCCTTTACTCATATTTGCCAAAGTTTAATGTTGACATGTTAAAGTATTATACAGATACTCACCAAGTACTAATATGGCATGTTTATCTTTCACTGAAGCCTTTGTGTTGGTTATTCACCACCTGTAAGATTATGAATCATTCTGGAGAACTTGATATTTAAAGAAATATAGAAACTAAAGTCCATGTTTAACAACAAAGAGTGTAGACTATTGGAGGTGGAGCCAATATGCAGCTATAGACAGAAGCACCATGCTGTCCCTCTGCAGCAAAGACCCGAAAAACTAAGTAAAACAGATACAAACATCAATCTTGGAACTCTAAGTACCAAATGAAGGAATAAAGAACTAGATCAAGCACTGAATGGAATAAGAAACTGAGAGAGAACAGAAAATGACAAGAGCTATGTAGTGAAGGTCCCATACCAGCTAGTGTGGCCGAATTCCCATCCTGGACTAAAGTTGGGGAAGAATTCAGACAGGGAGTACAGGAAGGCAACTTCATGCAGTCCCCAACAGGAGACAGAGCACCCAGAAACAAAGGAGACAAGCTTTCCCACTCTGATCCTTCTTCCCTCTGTGGGGCATCTGCTGTCTTCCAACGGGCCATGGTTGCTCAGCAGGAGAGACACTAAATCACCGCTGCAGGGGTCCATCCTGCCCCACCAGCTGGCCCCTTCAGTGCCATTTTATGTGTTCATTTGGTTGGTTTGGTTTGTATTTTAGTTTGTTTGCATGTTTTTTGATTTTTTTGTTTGGCTTTTTTTTTTTTTTTTTTTTTTGGTTGTTTCTCTCTCTCTCCCTTCCTTCCTTTCCTTTCTCCCATCCAGCTAACCCTGTGTGCCATCGCCTCCCCTTCTTGACTGGCTGTGATTTTTTGGTTTGTTTGCTTTGTTCTTTTTTTTGTTTGCTTGTTTTGTTTTTTGTTTATTTGTTTGCATATATATATATGTATACATATATACACTCATATGTAGGCCTTTTGTTGCTTCTCTTTCTCACCTTCTTTCCTTTTTCTACCCCCATCCCCAGCTGGACCTATGTGCCATACCATTGCCTTCTCGAAGGACTGCAAGTTTTTGGTTTGTTTCCTTTCTTCTTCTTCCTTTTTTTTTTTTTTTTTCTTTTTCTTGTCTCTCTCCCCTTTCCTTCTTTTCCGCCTGGAGGGGCAGTGCTGCACAGTTTGGTTGAAGAGTCACTGCACTCAGCCTCCCTGAGTCTGTGCTAGCATCACCAACCTCAATGCCATTTTATTTATTGGTTGACTGATTTTTTTCCTTTCTCTTACTGTTTCTTTTATCTCTCTCCCTTCCTTCCTTTCCTTTCTTCCATCCACCTAGCCCTGTATGCAGCCCCCAACTTCTCAGTGGGCTGTGTTGTACTGCTCTGCTGGAGAGCCTCAGGCACATGGCTTCCTCAGATCTGTGCTGCCTCCACAGGTTAGCTCCCACAGCATCATAATTTATATTTTTCTTTATCTTATCTTTCTTCTTTTCCTTATCCCTCCCAGGTAGGCCCTGAACTTCCTCTGTCCCTTCCTGAGGGGCTGTGCTGTGCCACCCAGGGAAAGAGACAGCAGCTCACCACCACCCCAGTTTTGCCCTGCCCCCATCAACTGGCACCACATCACCATATTTTTGATATTTTTATTTTCTATATTATTTTTTGAACCTTTTTATTTGTTTCATTGTTGGTTTCTTTTCTTTCTTTCTCTTCTTTTCTTTCCTTTCTCTCACCCATCTAGCCCCCTACACCACCAGTCAGCTTCTGCCCAGGCTAAGCCACACTTCTCAGCTAGAGAGACACCAGCACATGGCTTTGCCAGGTCTGCCTCACCCCCAGACATCAAATCCTACCTCACTGTCATTTTATTTCCTTTTTTTCTTTTCCTTAACTTTTTTTAACTTCATTTTTTACTTATTTCCACTTTTTTGCTCTTGTTTCTCTCTTTTCTATCTCTTCTTTCACCTATCCACTTAGCTCTGCACGTCACATCATCTCCTTTCCCTCCTGCCTATCTGCATCTTGTGCTGGATGCCATGCCTCCAAATGGGTGCCCTGGGCCCCACCCTGCACTCCTCCCCAGCACTGCACTATCACCCCCAGTTCATACCACAAACTACCCATCCCCACCCCTTACCCCACTGGAGCTGCTCTGCTGCAACATAGCTGAGTGACCGGCCCTGCCCACCTGGACAAAGTGGTGACACATATCATGCCCCAGGCTGCCTTAAACAAAATATACCAAGTCTGCCTGCCCAGATAAACAAACAACAAAAAAAAAAAAAAAAAAAGGATGAAATAATCAAATCTAGAACCAATAAACAAAGGAAATAATTCTTGAATGTCCAGGAGACAGATGTGAATATCAAAACATATTTAAAAAAAAGAAAGAAAAAAGGAGAAGATGGCTCCAGAAACCAATCAAAATAAAACCACTGATGACCTTCTGCTAGAAGAAAAGGCACTAGAACTACCTGATAGAGAATTCATAACTATAATATTCAGGGTTTTTCAACAGATGAGGTAAAATGCAGACAAAAATAAGGAAAAATAGACAAACTTATGGAAACAATAAACACAACAATGGAAGAAATAAGGAAAATAATGCAGGAACAAACTGTCAAAATAAATAAACAACTAGAAATCATACAAAAACAGGAATTAGAAATCCGAATAATAAAAAACAAGATTTCAGAAATGGACAATGCGATAAAAGGATTTAGGAGCAAATCTGAAACAATGGAAGGCAGGATCAGTGAAATTGAAGACAAATCCTTGGATACCACTTTGAGGAAAAATCAGAGAAAAATGAAGAAACCCAAAGAACGGTGTGGAATATAATCAAAAGCAAAAATTTGTGTGTGATTGAAGTTCCAGAACAGGAGGAGAAAACAGAAAACACAGTGAGGATATTGAAGATTTGTTGACATAAAACTTCCATAATATCATGAAAGATGAAAAGCCAACTATCCTAAAAGCTCAACGAAACCCATATATGCTAGACTTCAAAAGAAAAACACCAAGACGTAATCACACTTGCTAAAACCAAAGACAAAGAAAGAATCCTAAGAGCAGGTTGAGAAAAATAAAAAGTCACATACAAAGGGGAAACAATAAGACTAAGCTCTGATTACTTGGCAGGAACCATGCAGGCAAGAAAACAATGGGATGACATATATACAGTCTTCAAAGAAAAAAAAGGCCAACCAAGAATAGTATATCCTGCAATTCTTTCACTCAAATATGATGGCAAAATCGGGACATTTCCAGATAAAGAGAAATTAAGGGAATACATAAAAACCAACACAAACTTACAAGAATTATTAAAGGGAGTCCTTTGATTAGAGAACCAATGACATCGGACAACAACCTGAACCTACACATGAGACAACATCAGCCAGATACCAACCTAGATAATGAACTCTCAAGGATAAAACAAAAGTAAACAATTTACAACAAGGAACCAGTTGTCTGTAAATGACAACAACATCAGAACAATAAAAGAGGGAATAAATGGTGTAGGTATAGGACTTTCAAATGGAGAGGAAGTCAAGCCTTTATTAAGTAGACAAGACTAGTTTAAACTTAGGAAGATAGGGATAAATTTCAAGGTAACAGCAAAGAAAGTTAACAAACCTACTCATCAAAATGTATAAGAAAAGCAAAGTCTCAGAAAACACAAAATCTACAAAAATGAAAGAAACAAAAAAAATAGACAAATAAAAGGAATTCAGCACAGAAGAGTAAGAGGAACAAAGAACAC